GTGTATATTCGTCTGCGTGCTGTTTGATATACTCTAAACTAGCGTTCCTTGCTTCTTCAGTTATATATGTAAGTTGTGCCATTATTTTTTACTTTCTAAAACAATTATTCTCTGTTCTAATTCCATAACATATTGGATCAAGTTATTGATTGCTTGAGTATTTTTTGGGTTATCGGTTAAATTTTGTAAATAATCCATTATACTATCGTATCCCTTATATGTTATTAATTATATGTTATTACTTATATCTAATATAACAAAATGTATTATGTTATGTGGATTATATTATGTTATTATTCTTTTTCTGTCAAGTAGTTTTTCTATTTGGAAATTACTGTTATATAATTCGTGTGGTTTTATTCCTGTAGCTAGTTCTATCCATATTAATACTCTTAGTTCACAAAGTTTTAATTTTTTTCTATCGGAAGTAATAACCCCCCGCCTCTGTAGTCTACCTAATGGAGAATATTTTATATTGGGGTTAGTTTCTTTAATAAATAATTTATTTTTTCTTACATATGATATATATTTGTATTGTAAATCTTTTATTTCCTTTTCTGTAGTGGGTCCAGTGTGGAATGGGGATAGTTTACCCCCTAATATAAAACTTAATGATACATTGGTGAATTTACAAAATCTTAATATTGTTTTTATATATGGAATGCTTTTTTGTAAATAGGTTCTAAAGGTTGTGGTTTGGTTGTTTTTAGAATGTTGTTCGACTAAATGTGTAATTGGTTTCCCACTTAATTTTAATGCTATATTACATCTATCCCTAATGGTTTTTTGTAATTCTTCTGTGGTTGTTACCATTATTCTATTTCCTTTTCCTTATAATGTGATAATGCATTTTCCAAATTTTTTATTGTTCTAGCTTGTAATTGTAGTTTTAATATATCTTTGTCTTCTTTGTCTGTTTGTAATTGATTTAATATTTTTGATCTTTGTTTTTTTAGGAATTTTGTTATTACTTTTTTATTTTGTACTAATTGGTTATGTTCTAGGGGGGTTAAGTCTATATCATAGTTTTCCAATTTTGGTTTACAAAATAGTTTTTTTAGTAGTTTTATCATATTTTATATCCTTTTTTGATTTTTAATCCATTGTGTGGATCGTTTTATATGTTTATCTAGGTTTAGACAATTTAACATCATTTGCCAATAGTCTTGTGGATTGTTAGTTTTTAATGTGTATCTAATATCTTTTGTCTCTACATATATACTATGTCTATAATAATCTACCCCATAGTCCGTTATTTCATTTATTCTAAGTGTTTTGTCATTATCACTCAGTAAACTTATGTATGGTCGTTTATAAATGATTTTATCAATATTTATTATTGGTTTATCTGTGTAAGGTTTATTGTATGGGGTAGTATCAATATCCTTTTTTACCATATTATGGTTTATTTTTAACCATTTTGGTTTATTAGGTGTTTTACAAAATTCTTTTGAATATAATACTCCTAATGGGATGTTATATAATATAGCATATCTATTATATATTACTGGACTATGTAGGAACCCGTACCCGTCCCCATCTTCCCCCCTGTTATGGTGTGCTTGGATTGTTTCATAATCTACCCCCCACAATGTAGCTATTTTACCTAATCCCATTTTTTTATAGATAAGGAAATAATCTAAATTACTTGAAACAATATCTCTAACCTCTGATAAATGGGTGTATATTCCCTTAGAACCGAATATATGGGCTAAACTATACCCCCGTTTTATTAGATAATTAGTTAGATCCATATGATTTCTTGGTAGAGATATATCGGGGAAGTTATTTATTATTATTTTTGCTAGATTATTAGTCATTTATTATATCCGTAATCCTATTTACTACTAATATAAGTCCTATGCTAAGACAAAAATACATAATCATATCTATTAAATCTTGTTTATTCATAAAATACCTCTTTTACTCCTGCTATAATAAAATAAAATCCTTTAAAAGTCAAGGGGGGTTTACTATTTCTGATATATTTTAAATTTGTCGTTTAAGTCATAAGCGGACATCCATTCTAAGTTATTTATATTATTGTTTTTTAAATCCCCGTCTTTGTGGTTTAATACTGGGAACTCCATATCTGTTGGGGCTGGTGTACCGAAGTGGGACATAACTAATTCATCTATAAAATGATTGGCTCTTTCTCTCTCATTATCATACAAGGGGACATATAATCTATGGTTTTGTTTACATACATAGGGAGATAGTTTAGTGCGGGTGTGGAAGTGTTTATACCCCATACTATATACTTCCCCTGTATCAGTTAGTATATATGCTTTATTATAACCCTCTATATTACATTCCTTATTTTTTGGTTTTAATGGTTTTTTTGGTTCTAATGGTTTTGTTGGTTTAAATTTAGAGAACAAAGATTTTTCTTTATCTGTTTTAATACCACAAGTGTCTTCAAAGTTTTCAAAGGTATACCATTTACCCTTGCGTTTATTGGGGTTTGTTGCGTGTAGTGATATTTTACCTTTGATCCCCTTTTCTTTTTCAAATGATATTACTCCATCAAATTTATTAATGAATTTTTTGGTTTTTATGTTTTCTTTTTCTTTATGTAATAACCTACAAAATATTAAGCAATTATTAGATTCTGCTATATGTCGTAAAAATTCAATGGTTTGTAATACCCCTGTAAAGTCTTTAGGTTTTATATCGTAAAAGTTATCTATTACAATAACATCTACTTTTTTAGCCTTTGCTATACTTATAAGTTCTGGAATTGAGATTTTATCTTTATGACAATCTTTTATCCTTAATCGGGTTTTTCTATCCTGTGGAATGCTTGTATTTTGTTTATGTAATGTTTTTAATGATTCCAATGCATCAGGTCTATTATATTCTAATGCTATATATAAGAGTCTATTTCCCGCGTATAATGAATTTAAAGTTATTTGATTAAGTAAATTACAAGGGTTTAGGTTATATGGGTAGGTTATAGCTATTACTTTACCCCTACTTAGTCCACCAAGTTTTTTATCTAGTCCCTTAATACGAGTACTTGCTAATAATTCATATTCTGTCATTGTTTTATTTCCTTTTCTTAAATTGTAATATTTTAATTATTTCTGGATTTTTGTTAAACCGCCTAGCAAGCATTAATGCCGTTTTTCCAAATTTATTCCTAGCTTTAATATTTGCTCCATTCTTAATCAATGTTTTAACGATGTCTGGATTATTGTTACACAAAATAGCAAGCATTAATGCCGTTTTTCCATCTTCATCCTTAGCATTTACATCTGCTCCATTCTTAATCAATGTAATAATTATTTCAGGGTTTTTGTTAAATGAACTAGCGTACATTAATACAGTCCATCCATCTTCGTCCTTAGCATTTACATCTGCTCCACTTTTAATCAATGTAATAATGATGTCTGGATTATTATTAAACTGGCTAGCATATTTTAATGCAGTCCATCCATCTTCGTCCTTAACATCTACATTTGCTCCACTCTTAATCAATGTTTTAATGATGTCTGGATTATTATTAAACTGGCTAGCGTACATTAATGCAGTTTTTCCCCATCCGTTATCCGTAACATTAACATCTGCTCCATTTGTAATGGCTTGTTCGACTTGATCTAGTGTTACAGATTCCCAATAAGTCCCGTCTAAAAATACATTTGTCATTATTTTATTTCCTTTTCTTAAACTGTAATATTGAACGGAAGTTCTGGTCGATCAAGGCTTTGTTCCGTTTGTGTTGGATAATCAATTTTATATATATTACCCTTAGGGGCTTCAACTAATATCTGTGTTGAGAACCATTCTATATTATTACTATCAATTCTTACATCTGATATTACTGTACCTTCCAAATAAATTTCTTGATCCTGTTTGACAAAGCATTTAACTTCGTTTACTAAGGAACCCTTAACTGTAATACTAAAATATTGAGTTATTGGGTTTAAGTCTTCTGGTGTTCTATCGTCCGTTACTGCTAGTTTAAATGTAGCGATGTTATTATCGTTTACCTTTTCTTGTATATCGGGGTTAGTGGCTACTGTACCCAATAATATTATTTTGTTATATCCTGTCATTGTTTTGTTTCCTTTTCTTTGTCGATTAATAGTTTAATTATTTCTGGATTTTTGTTATACCAACTTGCATACATTAATGCAGTATCTCCATATTTATTCCTAGCATTAATATCTGCTCCATTTTTAATTAATATTTTAATTATTTCTGGATTTTTGTTAAACTGACTTGCAACCATTAATGTAGTATTTCCAAATTCGTCCCTAGCATTAATATCTACCCCATTTTTAATTAATATTTTAATTATATCTATATTTTGAGTATACTTACTTGCAAGCATTAATGCAGTCCAGTTATCATTATTCTTAGCATTTACATCTGCCCCATTTTTAATTAATGTTTTAATTATGTTTGGGTTTTCGTTATATTCACTAGCAAATATTAATGCATTTTTTTCATTTTTGGCTCTAGCATTAATATCTGCTCCATTTTTAATTAATGTTGTAATTACATTTGGGTTTTCGCTAAACCGACTTACATACATTAATGCCGTAGTTCCATCTTCTTCCTCAGCATTTACATCTGCTCCATTTTTAATTAATATTTTAATTATTTCTGGATTTTTATCAAACCAGCAAGTCATCATTAACGCAGTTCTTCCATATTTGTCCCTAGCATTAATATCTGCCCCATTTTTGATTAGTGTTGTAATTATGTCTGGGTTTCCGTTATTCGAACTTGCATACATTAATGTAGTCCATCCACCTTTGTCCCTAACATTAATATCTGCCCCATTTTTAATTAGTGTTGTAATTATGTCTGGGTTTTCGTTATTCGAACTTACATACATTAACACAGTATTTCCATTTTTGTTCCTAGCTTTAATATCAGCTCCACTCTTAATCAATGTTTTAATGATGTCTGGATTATTATTAAATTGGCTAGCGTACATTAATGCAGTCCATCCATCTTCGTCCTTAACATCTACATTTGCCCCATTTTTAATTAATGTTTTAATTATGTTAAGATTTTGGTTACATTCACTAGCATACATTAATACAGTTTTTCCGTATTTGTCCCTAGCCTCAATATCTACTCCATTTTTAATGAATTGCTTTACTTGTTTAAGGGTGGTAGTTTCCCAATAATTCTTATCTAAAAATGCATTTGTCATTATTTTGTTTCCTTTTCTTGTTTTTCAGCCCACCTAAAAGCTGTTTTTTTAATATGTGCTATTTTTTCTTCTTTAGTCAATCGTTTTTTCTCAGACGGTGGTTCTGGTGGTTCATAGCCTTTCCAATGTCTTTTTTCTTTTTTAGTCATCCCCTAATTTCCTTTCCTTTGGTTTACTATATTTTTGATAGGTAGCATCGACTCCATTTCTAAAAATTTCTGTCCCGATCTTATCATATGTTTCAATGTCTCCCGATAGTAAATATTTTTGTCTAAATTTATTGACCCAGTCTGTTTTATTTTTAAAAATATTAGATTTTTCCTTTTCTTCAGTGGTTGGTATTAAATATTCGCTTTTACCACCCAATTCTTTTATAGCCTGGATAAAACAGTTCCAACCAAAGGAACCCAAAAAAGATTTTCCAGTGATAATTATTTTAGGATTAAATTTTAAAGCCTGTTGTATACTTATTTCAAAGTAATCTTTTAGCATATCGTCCATTTTATTCCCACAATCACCAGCCCATTCCTCTATTTTATTATATAGAGCTTCCCCATTGCCCCCACAAAAATAATGGTTAGTTGGCTCTATATTTTCTGTATTGGCTTTTACTGCTTTTTTAAATAAATTATATGTTATTATATCTTTTCTTGTAACCCCACCCTCTTTATACCAATAATAAAAATTCTTTACATTTCTTCTTCTTATAGGAATATCATTACTCCAAAAATTCCAAATCTCCACTATTCTATATTGATCTTCAAAATAAAGGATTTTATCCCTTAAATGGTTATATATATGTCCGTTCCCCCCACCCTTTGGTTCACCTATTAATTCAATTAGATGTTTTGTAAGAGCGTTTTTCCGTGGATCAATAACATATGACTTCTTTTTATTTTTTGTCATAATAATCCTCACTAGATTTATTATCTTTTTTATATGCCGTAAGACCAGCTCTGATCCTTTTTGCCAATTCAGTATCCGATAATTTAGATAGTTTTTCTCTATCTGAATCCGACATTTTATATAGTTCTTCTTTTTTAGTCATTCTCTAATTTCCTTCTCTTTGTTTTACCTTTTTTGTTTCAATTACTTCTGGGTCTAACCTAATTGCTCTACTCAAAAGTACTAATGCTTTTTTGTTCCCGTTTACTATCTCTTCAGTGAATTTTTCTATACTGTCATATTCGTCCACTATTTTTTTAGACCGCCCCCAAAAGTTTTCAATGGTTGATTCCTTTATATATTCATTTTCTATGGCTTCCATTATAGAACTCCATTTTAAGTTAGTTATAGAGTTGTTTTCTTTGTTTCCGTCAATATGTATTGGAATTAAGTCTTCCCCCTCTGTCGGCTCACCAAAATGAGATAAAACTAGGTCTGGGATAGAATATAAAGTCCTTATTCCATTTTTGGATAATACTATTGTTGGCATCCCGCCTATAAAATTATGATTTTTTCTTAATTTTTCAAGTCTTGTACCCCCGTTACCTAAAGTTTTTATGTGTCCTATGTCTGATATTTGATATATACTCTCATAGCTTTTTAAATCCACATAAGTCTCCTCTGTGTCTAGCCAAAACATATTTTTTATTGAATTATTTTTTGGGTTCCCGTCCATATAATGGACTACGGGGTTTTTCATTTCACTTATGGCGGGTAACCCACACTCTTTATATACACGATCTATATGTTTACGGAAGACTTTTAACATTAAGTCATCTACATATATTTTATATTGCTTCCCTTTATTATTCAAAACAAAGTGGTATCTATGCTCTTCTTCAAGTTTTCTTTTAGTTTTATCCATTTTTAATAGTTGGGATTTAATGTACTTACAAGGTTTTCTATTAGGTTTGATAAAACCATCTGATGTTAAACTGTAATTACCAAATTTTTTCAGTAATTTTTTATCTCTAAAATCGATCATTAAATAATAATTAATGTTCTCCATATAATCAAATAATCTATTTTCTGCTTCTTCTATGTCCGCTGGAGGGGTTTTTTCTTTTTTGGTAGTAGAGTCAGAGTCGGATCGTTTTGTCGGCTTTATGGGTTGTTTATGCTGAGTTATTGGGGGATCTACTTCTTCTGCTCTCTGTTGTTTGAGAATAGCTTCCTTCTTCCGTCTTCCGTCCTCTTTTATTTTTTTGCTTTTGTCTTCCGCGATAGCGTCCATTTTTTTATCTTCTTCATAGATCCGATTAGCTTCTGCTTTTTCTTCTGGAGTAGTTAGTGTAGCCACATATTCTTTGTGGTTTTCGTATTCTTTATCAAGGGGTTCTTTCTTGGTATCGGATTTTTTAGATCCGGATCCTTTTTTTAGTCCAGCCCTAATCCGTTGCAGAATTTCTTCTTCACTTAAATTTTTAGTCATTAGAACGACCCCCGCTTAACTGTGGCAAAAGTCTTTCTTCTATTTTTGTTTGTTTATAGTCTTGAAATTCTTTTGACAGTTTGGGGAGTATATCTGTATGGGGGAGTTTTTGTTCGTTTGTCGGGTGGTTAGTAATATATTTAGTCATTTTTTAATCTCCTTAAAAAAATTATTTGTTGTTGTAAATATTTTTTCTTTTTGACAACAACGGGAGGAGGAAAAATACTAATAAAGTTTAATTCCTACCCCCCTATAATAATTTTCAAAAAGATAAAAAATATTTATTAAAATCAATATATACTATGCAAAAACATAAGTCAAGTAAAAAGAGACAAAAAATTAAATTTTTTTTTTATGTATCAAATATATTTAAAAATATCAAAATATATCTATTTTATTATAGTATCAAATATTTTATTGTATTTTAAAGTAAATAACAATTCTATTTTGAATTAAAATTTTGATTAGCCAAACCCTAGCCGCCGAAGGTGGCTACACACCAAAACCGCCGAAGGTGGTTTGGTTGTTTTTCTATTCCGTTTGCATTTATCTTTATCTTTATTTTTTAAAAAAAAAAAATATTAAATATTTAAAAAAAAAAAATTTATATTATTACATATAAATATATATATGAAGAACGCACTGGTTTTGAAAATAGGGGGGGCAATTTAAAACCAGTGCGTTTTATCAACGCAAATTACCGATGTGTTTTGTCTTTTTTAAATTTTTTGGTTTTCTAGTTATTTTCCCCTATAAATGTATTCTTATTAATACAACAAGTGCGTTCTTATCAATAAAATGAGTGCGTTTTTATCAATAAAATGAGTGCGTTTTTATCTAAGGGTTTCCTTCGGTTTTTTATAATTATCAATAAAATGAGTGCGTTCTTATCAATAAAATGAGTGCGTTCTTATCAATAAAACCAGTGTATTCCTATCAACTACCATTTTCCCGATTATTTTTGTACTCCACATTTTCCAAAATTTACCCCACTTTTTACCCTAAATAAATCTTTATATTTGACTTTAAAACCAAAATAAAGTAATCTTATTTTTGTGGTTAAGGGTGTATCAATTATATTTATATCCTTTCTTACTATATGATGTTTGATCCCCTTAACTACATAATTTATTTTAAAGGAACTTATAAAATGACAAATAAAGAAGCCTTTGACTTTATAAATAAGCATAATCTCACCACATTAAAACCAAAGTATGATATTATTGATATAGGTAGCCCCTTACTTAATACTCCACCCCAAACCTTATATAAACCACTAATAAACATAAAATAATATAAATAAACCAAAAATATTGGTTTATTCGCATTTCCGCCTTGACTTTATATAATTTATATATTAAAAATAAATAAATAAAGTTTAAAGAAAGGATAAAACGATATGAAAAAAGAAATTTATAAGGATATATCAGGATTTGAAAATTATCAAGTATCTACTCTTGGTAATGTATTATCTAAAAATTATAAACGGCTAGGGATTACAAAACAAGTAAAACAAAACCCCCATACCTACGGCTATTTAATTGTAACATTATTTACAGGGGGGCAACCAGAGCAATTTTTAGTGCATAGATTAGTTTTACTTACTTTTGTAGGCAAACCACCTAAAAATATGCGAAACCCCATATGTAATCATATAAACGGGGATGTAGCTGATAATAGACTTGAAAATTTAGAATGGATATGTAGGAGTACACGAACTAGCAGTAAAGCCCCTAATTGGAACCCTAATAGTTTAAATGCTATTTGTAATAAATTATTTGACTCTCATATTGAGATCAGTGATAGCTATAAAAATAAAGGTTCATTCTATGGTGGTGTTAGAGTTGGTTGTAAGCGGGCAGTAGCCTTATATCAAAAATATTTGACAGAATAATTTTTATGTCCTATATTAAATTTATTGTTATTGAGCTTAGATTTTGGATAAACATTTATACTCTCTCATAATTTATTTTTTTATTTAGTACTAGGCTCAATAACAACCACTAATTAAAAAAGGAATTACTAATGTTTAAAAATTTATTTACTGATAATACGACAAAATATGGTATGTTATGGCTGTTCGGCACCACTATACTAGGACAACTTAAAGATTTTATTAATGATGTATTGGGGGAGTTTGGAATTACTTATTTTATGTCAAAGCCATATACATTAGAAGCCATTATATTTATTGTTATTGCAATTCTATTTATAGTTACCCCACACAATAAGGTAATTACTCTATTAGAATTTATAACTAAAAAAAGAGTTTGACAAACTAATTTTTATGTATTATATTAATAATTGTTATTGGACTTGGGTTTGTAGACAAAACATTTTACTCCCCATAGTTTTATTTTTTATTTAGTGCCAGGTTCAATAACAAAAGTTTAATGTCTTTTCTTTTATGAAAACTAAACCCTCTTATTTAACAATAGGAGGGTTATTTTTTATGGTAATTTACCTAAATATATGTTTTCACTTAATGTAGCCCCTTTAAAACTTAATCTAGGGGCTATATAATTAAATCTCATTAATCACAAAGAACAAAAATCCATCAAAGAATATACTGCTATACTTATTCCGTAACTATATTTTCCGCCGACATAGTAATCAGCCTCTAATTCTATATAATCCAATTCTTTACTTTCACTGTGGTTATTCCTTGTCAATAATCTATTTTGTACTAGGTCGCTATCATTAGTAGTCCAGCTGTTAAAAGCTATATCATCAGCACAGTATGTACGCGTTGTAAGATTGGAACGGGACTGATTAACTAGTTCCACTTCGTGGTAAAATACATTAGCTTTAGGATAGGGGCCGTATATAACAGTACCAGTACCAGAGCCTGTAGTATGTTGCCAAAAATATTTACCCTGTGGATTGGAACCTTTTGCTATATCAATAGTTTTTGGTGGGGTGTTATAGCTATACGAACCATCTGTGTAATATAATTTTAATCTAACATTTAAAAAATTAGTAGCGGTTACATTAGATTTATACTCGTTGACACTTGTTACATCAAATATATATTTACCATTATCAAGATAATCAAAAGCTACATTGTCTGGTTTAGCTACTTTCTTACCACTGGTAATACTTGAATGCAACCAGCTTTTGTCGTTTATATAAGGTTTAATGTAATTGGGGGATAGATGTTTTACTATACTGGAACTTTTCCCCCACATAATAAACTCTATATCCGCTAAATTAGCCCATTGAACCGATTTAGCTGTAACACCTCTAGGGAAACGATGTAATACCTTTGTAAGTTTAGGTACCTCGCCCCCATTGGTGTTGAATTGTTTTGATTTCCGACAATCACAAGCTATAACATATTTTTTTTGTTTATTAGTTATGGTTTTCCCGTCTTTTTCAAAGGTTATTTCCCTTTGACCCCATTCTACCCATTCTTTTTCCTTGCCCTTCGGTAACCAAAAGTTATAATCGGTGTTTAATTCTACCCCGTCTTTTTCCCACTTCAATACCATTATATATCCCCTTTATCAGAAGCTGGCTTTATTTGGAAGTGTGGAGCGTCTATAAAACTAACCCAATCACCACCCCATACTAGTTCTAGTTCCATCTCCAGAGCAACCTCTTTAAATATCTTAGCAATAGGTTCAATGTCTTCTTTTAAGAAGCTATAAACGGCTTTACCCTCTGAATCCTTACCCATATACCTACAAATGTCTAAAGCCCACCCAGTCAAGTGATAACTATGCATAGTCTTTGATTTACCAGTATCAACTAATTTTTGTTGTTCTTCTGTAGACCGTCTACCACCAAAACGGGGTATCCCGAAGTCATATGGACTACGATTTAAAACCTCAATCGCTAATTTTTGAATACAAATATTTGTAGTGGCAAGTCTAGAAGCCGATACATTTCCGAATTTAAAACCTTTTGTCATTATTTAAGACCTTTCCATTTTAGCTATTTGTTTATCTAGTTTATAATTTTGGTATTTAAAATATAGCGTTAAACCTATATCAACAACCCCCACACATGTAGTAATTACCAAAATTAAAAAACTAGCTGTTATTGTGTAACCAGTACCATATAAAAATAAAATTCCGACATATAGTAGCATTATGATATAAAAATATTTACAACTAAATCCGTCAACTTTATTAATTACTTTTTTACTTCTTTCCCACATACGCAAACTCCTTTTTTTGTATTTAGATCTATTTTATCGCTTTCCGTTTTAATATTCATTTGTAGAACTTTAAAATATAGAATAGCCAAAGTAAACGCCCCCACAATAAGCCCCTCTACGGAAGCTAGAAACCATTTAATATTAGCAATAGATAATATGCTGGCCGTCCCTACCATCCCTACATCAATAATAGTTTCTTTGTCTGCTATTTCTGGTATATGTTTTAAAGTCATTTTATAAGCTCCTCTACACTTGACATAATACGACACCTACGATTAAAAATCCCAATAAAATTTCCATTACTTCCTAAACCTTCCAGAACCAAATAATCGTATGGCATTATAACATAATTTACAGGTGAGTTTACTAGCCCCATCAAGTGGAAGTAAATCTCTAAATATTTTGTCCGCTTGTTCTCTTGTCATATAATACATACATTCTTTGGAATATAAATAGTCGTGGAGAATACTAGAATAAGAATATATAGTAGCATCGGAGAATAAATACCTACATATAGGAGGTATACTAGCATAATCAGTAGAAAACCCCGCTGGTACAATATATTCTTTGTCATTATGAATAAATGTAGCACCTTGTCCTACAATAAATAGTCCACTTTTAGCGTTACGGTAGCCGTGTATTTTTTCTGGTATTTTATTCTTTAATATCATTATTTTGTTCCTTATTTTCAAATATTTTTACTATACTAAAACTACCAATACCAGCCTGTCGTATATAGGCTTCACATTCAGCATAATTATCGCTACCGAATAAAAATTTCTCGTTTCTAATTTCCAGTAGTCTAACTTCAAATCTTATCATTGTTTCAATTTCTTTC